GTATGGTGGGATTCTCAACAAATCTTAGTTGTTGTTTTGCACAGGTTGAAATAGCCAGGGAACGTCATGTGAACCTCTGACATTCACATCCAACGAYTGTCAAAGCCATCTGCACATTCAAACTCATATGCCAACATACTAGGGAATAGTTTATGCAGTCCCATAATGTCTTATTCCTTTGGGGCAAAACCTTCTCCGTACCATTCAAGAGACTAAAACATCTGGGCCAGGAAACCAGCCAGCCAAACTATCTGTCACGGTGCGAAATTGGATTCCTCATAACTTCTGTTCGAGTAAAGATCTTTCCTACCCAAAATTCCCAAAAGCAACATTAAAAAGAAAAAGTAAAAAAATATCGAACGAGCTGGGTTAGGCGGACGTCCGGCCCAGACGGACCGGGCCAGACGGACGGGGGGGGGTCCGTCCGGCAAAAGCAGACGAGCCAAAAAACATCCCAGGATTTTTTTTATTTTTTTTTAGAAGATGGGTTAGAGTGCGCTCGCTGAGAGGAGCCCGAATCCGCCGAGAAACTTGTGAAAGTCGTGTGTGTGTGTGTGTGCGTGGGGGGGGGAGGGGGGAGGGGAGGTGGAGGGGGGGATTTTGGAGGTCACTGTGGATACGGGTGTAGCAGAGGTGCTTGCAGCTTTTCCTTTTCCTTTTTCTTCTGCCGTTTCGCCCCTCCTCCGTCCAGACCCGCCACTCTCCACTCCAATGTCGCTCCCACCGCCCGCCATAGTGCCATGGAAGTAGAGGATGCAAGGACCACCAGCGAGGGAAAAAAGAAAGTTCAAATATCGGAAGAAGAAGAAGAACGAGAAGAAGAAGAAGAAGAATTACAAGGAGAARAAGAAGAAGACTTAGAAGGAGAAGAAGTAGTAGTAGTAGTAGTAGTAGAAGAAGAAGAAGATGAGAAGAAGAAGAAGAAGAAGAAGAAGAAGAAGAAGAAGAAGAAGAAGAAGAAGAAGAAGAAGAAGAAGAAGACTTAGGGAGGAGGAGGAGGAGGCGGCGAGAAGAAGACGAAGGGAGGGGGAGGAGGAGAGAAGAAGACGAAGGGACGGGGAGGAGGAGAGAGAGGAGGAGGAGGAGGAGGAGGAGGAGACAAGAAGATGAAAGGAGGCGGCGGAGGACCTGCCGATTTTGAGTTGCGTTGACGGAAAAAAAAAAAAAAAAAAAGATGAGAGACAGAGAGAGAGAGAGAGAGAGAGAGAGAGAGAGAGAGAGAGAGAGAGAGAGAGAGAGAGAGAGAGAGAGAACTCTGGAGACGTGGCAGTTGTATGCACACTGCTTCTGCCACGTGGCCCCTCGCCTACTAAAGAGAACCAATGAAATAGAGAGGAGGAGGAGGAGGAGGAGGAGAGAAGAAGACGAAGGGAGGGGGAGGAGGAGGAGGAGAGAAGAAGACAACGGGAGGAGAGGAGGAGAAGAAGAGAGAGAGAGAGAGAGAGAGAGAGAGAGAGAGAGAGAGAGAGACAGAGAGCCTGAAACGTGGCACTTCGCCCGATGAAGAAAGCCAATGAAATAGGGAGGAGGAGGAGGAGGAGGAGGAGAAAGAAGGAGGAGGAGAGAAGAAGACGAAGGGAGGAGGAGGAGGAGGTAGAGGAGGAGGAGAAGGACCTGCCGGTTACGTGATACGTCGACGAAAAAGGAAAAAAAAAAAAAAAAGGATGACGAAGGAGGCAGAGGAGGAGGAGAGAGAGAGAGAGAAGAGGAGGAGGAGGAGAAGGACCTGCCGGTTTCGTGATACGTCAACGGAAAAAAAAAAAGCTTGCCGAAGGAGGAGGGGAGTGAGAGAGAGAGAGAGAGGGAAAGAGAGAGAGAGAGGGAGAGAGAGAGAGAGGACACGTGGCACTTCGCGACACGGTACCGTATCAACGACGACGGGGCAGCTTTCCGACGGCGGGCAGCGACGACGAGCTGGGAAACGGGCAGCGGCGGCGGGCAGTGACGACGGGCATCGACAACTGCCACCTCGGCGAAGGCGGGCAGCGACGACGTTCGAATTCGAAGGCCACCCGAACGTATGTGTAGTCGGCGGAAGAATTTGCGCCGGGGGGCGGGGAGGCTCCCAAGCGCGAAAAAACATCGAAAAAGGCCTCCCTGCCCCCCCGCGCAAAAATGCGCTGGGCCTGCCTGGCATCAAACTGGGGGACCCAACCGGTCGGGCCGCCCGGGACCCCTGCCGGACGGAGGCTGGGCCGCTGGGCGGCCCAGAGTTTAGCACAGCGAACGAGTAGTTTTTGTTCTGATAAGGGACCCTGGAACTGGTTTCCAGCAGGTGTTCCCCACCAATAGATTGGAGCAGTGCTGCATACCCAGTCGCACCGGGGCCTCCTCCCCCCACCAGAACCGGGCCGGTCCTACGGGCTGGTCGACTGCGCCAGTTCCCCCCCAGTTGCCGTTTGCACTACGTTCCATCCTAAAGCTACTTCAAGATTGAGAAATTCAAATGCAATACCACCGCACGGGATCGAGCGCGCAAAAATCCTACGTCTATCTAGCTTCCTACAGAAAATTCACAGATCATTCAAGGGCGGGTGCGGGGACATCCATTTGCAAGAAAGGACACGTCAGCGAGAAGAATGCCCTTAAATCCCGGAATTTCCAACTGCCGAACAAACTCCCTAGCGCGCTCGCTAAGGCGCGCGTAATTCCTACGTAGATGTATGGATTGCCGAAAGGAATTTGCAACGACATTAAAAAGAAACGTCGTCCTAGGCACGAGAGGGCCTGGTTGGCCTGTGATTCCATGCATTGAGATAGCAAAAAGAAGGGGTACCCAAAGAGAGCCCAAGAAGAATCCGAAGAGTCAGAACAACAAAAAAATATTGGGGCCTCGGAAGATTGTTCGGGTACGAAAGCTGGTACGTCACAGCTATCTGCCACACACACACACACACAGCGCCTGGCTACACTACTCCCGACTTGGAGAAAGATTTCAGGAGTACTCCCAACGTCAAAAGACGCGAAAATCCATTCGGGAGTGAGCTTCGCCACATTGCACTCCAGACTTGGGGCGCTCTCCGATTTGGAGGCCAGGAGGCGCACTTCAGACGGAGACTGTCCAGCACTGTCCAGCATGTGGCGACGAAAACTGTGAGGAGAATGCTCGTCTTCACACGAGTTCTCTGGTCAAAACACAGGCCTCCGCCAAATGGCCTTTTACAGGCGGGAGGCTAAACCGATTTCGGGAGTGCTCTCAGGAGCCACATTCTGACAGATCCGAATGCTTGTCTGAGCACGAGTTCTCCGGTCGAAACACAGGCCTCCGCCAGAGGTCTCCCGAAAATGGCCTTTTACAGGCGGGAGGCTGAACCAGATTTCGGGAATGCTCTTGGGAGCCACATTCTGACAGATCCCAAATTCAATCTGACAGGTTGAACTCGGGAGCTGGCGACGAAAACTGTGAGGAGAATGTTTGTCTGCACACAAGTTCTGCAGTCAAAACACAGGCCTCCACCAGAGGTCTCCCGAAATTGGCCTTTTACAGGCGGGAGGCTGAACCGATTTCGGGAGTGCTCTCAGGAGCCACATTCTGACAGATCCGAATCTCCGGTCGAAACACAGGCCTCCACCAGAGGTTTCCCGAAAATGGCCTTTTACAGGCGGGAGGTTGAACAGATTTCGGGAGTGCTCTCGGGAGCCACATTCTGACAGATCCCGAATTGAATCTGACAGGTTGAACTCAGGAGCTGGTGTGGCGACGCTGCACTCCCGAAAATGGCCAAGTCCGGAGTAGTGTGGCGAGCGCCCCCCGCCCCCCCCCCCTCGGCACCGTGGGCCTTAAGCGCCCGGGATCCGACTCAACATTCTGGGGAGGCAGACGGGGGCTGGGCATCAAGAGATGATGATTGTTGGATGACTTCGAGCTCGATTCGTGTCTCCCTTTCCTGCTCCACCTTTGTCTCCCCTCCCTCCTCATCGTTCGTGGATGGTCGCTCATGTATGAGTGCAAGGAGGGATCTTTCGTCTATGGGTGTTTGCCTCCTTGCCTTGAGTCGCACGTGATGATGCGTGTGTGAGTCGGGTCATTCTTCCGAGTCTTCGGCTGTGCTGCACTGCTCCTTGTCGATCTGTTGTGTGAGTTCCATTCATCACACTGCCCTCCTAAGGACCTGCGCATCCATCTTCGGGGTATGCATCAGTTTGGTATCGGAGCGTCCAACGTGAAGTGCGACTCCGATCTGGCTCAACGATAGCGTTGAGTGGGTTGAAGGATCCAATCGATCTGTCAAACCAATTGATCGATCAATCGAATCTCATCGAGTCGATCACCGGTTGATTGAACGATCGATAAAAGATTGATTGATTGATTGATTGATTGGTTGGTTGGTTGATCGGTCGGTGTCGCTCGATAAACGTGCGGGATTTAGTGCTCTATGTTTTTCCTTTCCCCCGCAGACTCGTTGATCGATTGATTGCTGATTGATCCATTGCGGGGTTAGTTGCTGATTGATTCACGCGTTCCTGATTGCGCCCTGCCTCCACAATTCTCTCACCCGTTTCCAACAGCGTGGATGCTCTTTTCTGACCGAGCGCGTTCCTTTTACGGGAAGACGCTCTCTTCCATTCGTCTCTTCCATCGGGATTCATCTTCCCGAGCGCGTTTTTTTTTTTGTATTTTGTTAGTTTTTTTTTTTCGTATCGCACGCGCGCTCATTCCTTTTTCTTCTCTGAAGCGTGCTGCCTGCAAGATAGGATGAGATCGTCTCTACCAAACTTAATTGGTGCTCCTGCTGTTCGCGCGCACACTTCATTTGATAGGCGACACTGAGCGGCAAGTTCTCATTCGCACATAACCTTTACTATTCGATCGCTCGGGGGATCTGCCTCTCGTTGCGTGGTGGAAGTGTGTGAAACTTCCTTAATGGGTTGAACTCATCACACGGGGATTACATGTGGGTGCGCAGTTCAGGTGCGCCAACCTGCCCAGACTTCGCCACGCGAGTTTCGTGGTGCAGTGGAGTGTACCACGCGCGCTGGTTGGCTGCGTGCTCCCTTGCGTGGTCGACCGCACCTGGCCTGACTAATTATTTTGCCAGGCCATCCTTGCTCGCACCATTCATTGTTGCCCGATCGCTGCCGTCCGACTTAGATGGAAACTTGGTTGTTTTGGGGGTTCTTGCTGCTCTCGTATCCTTTTGAAAAAAAAAAAATTCCAAAGATTTAACCTTTGGGATTTCAGCGGGATATGGCTGACACCTAGGGGATATGTGGTTGAAATTCCGTCCTTGTCGTGATTGACGAGGAATTTGCAAATTTCAAATTTCTTCCGCAAACGTTTCGACATTATTTTTTTTGCAACTCGTGCACTGTCCGAAATTCACACCGATTATCATCGGGATTTCTGTCGCAAAATTTCCTCCTTTTCGGCAAAATTAATTCTGGATTCGACCCCTCCCCTAGCTGCAGTATAGTGGGCAAATTGCCACCCCATTGGGGGTGGGGACGTGCTGTCATTTTGAATTTACCCCATCCCACCCGTATCTCTGCCTGCATGCTGTTCTTCCCCCTCTTCGTCTATATCTTCCTCTTCTTCTTCTGCTACGGGCATTGGTAAGTGCCACATCAGCGAGGTGCCATGTCAGCAAGGTGCCATGTCAGCAAAGTGCCATGTCAGCAGGTTGCCGCGTCAGTATTCGGCCATGTCAGCGGTCGCATCAGCCCACCGGGCATCCGTGAATGACCGTGCTTCCGCGTTGACCGTCGCAAACAGCGGCTATGGAACGCAATGCAGCAGCAGCAGCCAAGAAGAAGCAGGATACTCGCCGCTTGTCGGAAGAGCAACAGGCCCACTCGATCCTTGCCAATGAGAAGATCACCCGTGGCATGGCCGTGGACTGGGGCGCGAAGGCTCGCAGGATATAGTGACTCCATCCTTGCCAGTGAGGAGATCAGCCGCAGCATGGCCGTGGACTGGGGCGCGAAGGGCGAGCAAAGCGATGCTACTCCCACGGACAAGCAGCTTGCGGTCGTCATGGTACGGGTCGTCGATCTGCTCGCCACCTGCGCACTGCAGCAAGAGAAGATCTTGAATCTCACGCAAGCCAATGCAGCCAAGGACGATGTCATCGCAACACTCAACAAGAGTGTCTTCGACCTTGAGCAGGGACCGATTGTCGCCAACGTGGGTCTGTCGAACATTCCGGACCGCGTCAACGCGTTGGAAGTCAAAGTGGACACCTCGGAGGTTGCAGATACCAACCTTGACAAACGATTGACAGCGATTGCCTTCCACCAACCGCCAAACGAGTCATCATCGCATCTCCCCAAATTAGACGGAATCACTATTTTCAAGGATTTGTCGGAGAACGATCCAATCCCGTGGTGGACGCAGTTCACCCTTTGGTTGGACATGCTGGAGGTCACACCCACTCCACAACCCGGATGTCTTTACTCCCGGGCGGTCCATGTCAAGCATAGCTGGACAACATAATTTATTGCCACGCATGGTGTACGTATCATCGATCTTCATACCAACATGAATTGGGATGAGCTTGCGGCGGCATGGCACAAGTGGTTCCAAGTGGGACCGGCGGAGATCGTTGTGATGGAGGAACTCCTACACTCCAGGCAAGGCTCCCTGACCATTCCTCCATCACTCCAAGCAAGGCTCCATGACCAGCAACGAATGCATTACGGAGTACCAGCGCTTGACAAACACTCTGAAGCTTCCGATGTTGTTCCCCGGCCTCAAGTACAACTTCATCAAGAGGTCGTGTGCATTCTCAATCAAGCTCTTACTCAAGTGTAGAGTCTCCGACACAGCAACATTGTTCAACACGGCTTCTCAGATAGTTCAAACGAACATGGCGGCTCGGAATGACTGACCACCGTATGGATCCGGAGGCCCGAACAAGGCCCGTAAAGGCAGCAACATGTTGCCACGGCCGCCGCCCAGGCGGCCGAATGTGATGACGAGGCTGCTCCCGTCAATGAAGGGGACACGGTTTCCACTGCCTGAGGTGGTGCATCTCCGCCCGAAGGAAGGGGTGAAGGATGACAGAAGACGTCCACCACATCGAACTCTGGGACCGGGCAAGCTTCTCAAGAACCTTGCACGGCCTTTCCGAGACCAAGTACTCATATTGCTTGTGGTGCAATAGTGACGAACACAAGACAGCTGCTTGCACTTGCAAGAAGGAGAAAGACGCCAAGGGAAAGTCCCGTTGGGGAAACGGAGTCCCGACGGGGGTGTGACGACTACACCCTCATCGTCGTTGGAAACCGGTTGACTTGCGAATGACTGCCCTTTGTTCCACGACACACGCGGAAGTCATAAGTCCTCACCTTCTTCTTCTCGAGGACTACGTTGCTCGGCTTGTTCCACCATTGGGGTCCATTGTTCAGGGCCAAGTATCCGCCGTTTGTGTGGCATCTGCTCCGTCCATAAGCAGTTCGACATTGACGTCTTCATCTTCTTCTTCACGCCGTTCACGGGATCCGGCATGCGTGTTCAAGATGGAGGACTTGAACCCGTTGACTCCCCAAGACTTCATTTGGTTGCCTCTCCCGACTACGGTTGCAATGCGCAGTGTTATGTGCTCATCTACGTGAATACTTAGCTTTCCATGCACCACCAACTTCGTCGACGGATGACGAAGTCGCGGTGGTCGATCTTCGTCCGCATTGCGAAGGTCGGACCCAAGTTTCATACGCAATGGTACGATAACAACAACGCGTCGTTGCGCTACGTCCGCATCCAAATAGGGCAAGCGTCCTGCAGCGCTTTGCTGGATAAAACAGCGGCTCACAACTTCATTAGCCAGTCCTTCATGTATCAGGCTGGTCTTGGGGCACTAGTACGAAGAAAGCTCCATCCTACCGACGTCAAGCTTGCGGACGGTCGGACACAACAATTTATTGATCGATGCATTGAAGACGTCCCGGTGTACTTCGCTCCACATGCACGCGAAGCCGTCACCTTTGATATCCTCGACACAAACTTCGATATGATACTTGGGATGCTCTGGCTTGCAAGTGCGGATCAAACGGCGAATTTCCATCGGCGGAAGCTTACCGTACGTGACGCCTTTGATGCCGGTCCCGTGCACCATCCCCCTTCCTCGCTCTTCAGTACCGTGCCAAGTAGTCACAGACTCATGACCAAGAGTTTCTACACCACTTGTGCTTACGAGCGGCCTGAGAAAGTTGGCTTGTGTTTTCTTCGCCACGTTGGGGAGTCCGATCCTTCGGCTACAGACTTATCTTCGAATCTGCGAGTGGTTCAACTTCTCGATGAGTTCAGCGACGTTTTCGAGGCGCCTTCGGGTGTGGTTCCGGACCGCCCCAGATCTCACGAGATCATCCTTGAAGATGGTGTCGTCCCACCAAAAGGTTGCATTTATCGCATGAGCGAGGAGGAGCTCGCGGCTCTCCGCGCACAACTTAATGACTTCGCCAAGTGTTGGATCCTCCCAAGCAGCTCGCCGCACAGCTACGTATCACCCGCGGCCGCAGCCGCGGGGTCAAGCTTGGAGGGCGGCCGAGTTCATGGCCGCATCCGCGGTTGGGGTCGGCCGCATAACTGCCACGTTTTTCACGGATTTTTCCATGTCGAAAATAATAGGGAAAAAAAAAGAGGGTTGTAGGGTTTTTCAAACCCTATACAACCCTATATTTTTTTTTAAGGAAACAATGAGTTTTCGGGAATTACAAAAAAAAAAAACAGAAAAGGCGGAGAGGAGGAAAAAAAAAAAAGTTTTTTTGGGGGGGATTTTTGGTTGGCAGTTCTTTGTCTTCTTCAATTTTATGTTTTTTTTTTTTTGTAATACGGAAAAAGCAAAGGAATCAAAAATTGAAAAAAAAAAATAGTATTGTTATTTTGTAAGGACGATTAGTATGTGTGTGTGTGTGTGC